GAATTGGGTTAATATGTAAGAGCATTGTTTTATACTATATGATCTCTTGGACAGAGTGGTGAATTTTTTTTCATATCTGTGTACCCTTGAGCATGTTATGTCTTTTTAAAAAACAAAAAAAGCAAAGGCTATTTTTAAAATTGTAAATATTACCATCAGACTTGGAAAAATGGAAAGTATTTTATTGTCATGATTGAATTTAGATTGTTACCTGTATTTTATTCAGGTTTGACACACATAAAACAGACCCCACTTGTTATTAGACTGTTGCCTCATCTGTATTCCTGTGTTTTATATTTATTAATTTAACTTTATAAAATAGGGAAAGGGACTGATAGTTTTGTTCAATAGATAGTTGTCATGGCTTGTTTTTTCTTTTATAGGAAGTGATTCCTCTGCCCAGGTTTCTGTTAAAATTCCACTAATTGAAGCCTGAGTCTACTTTTTGGTGTGCATATTTGATTTATTTTCCAACTGGATTTGAAATTTGTGATTTTGTTTGACAAAGCAAAGTTTGATTGAGGTCAGAATTACTCTAAAGGGACAAAGACATGAACCAGTTTTACATGATGGTGTAAAAAAAATTCTTATAAATTGTTTCTTCATCCTTTGGGCCATCATTTTAAATATTAGAATGTTAAATGGCAGGCTGAACTCTATTACATAGGATTAGAGCAGTACTTTCCAGTTTTAATAAATCAGAGGTAGGCCAAGGCATCCCTTGGTAGTTCTGATTCACAGTTAGATTTGGAAAATACAGTGTTAGAGAAGCATTATATGTGGTTGGAGCAGTCAAAGGCTTGGTGACCAGGAGCTGTGAATTTGAATTATGGCGCTAGCTGAGGGGTGCTATGGGCTAAAATGATCAAAGATCTCAAGGATTGATATGTCCTCATTTGTCAGATGAGGAATGTATGTGATGCTTGAGCCCTACCCACGTTGTTTCATATAGACCTAAGTACAAGTGAAATTTGTTGGGAATTTATAGTGCGCTTATTGTGAATGGTTTAAGAAGTGGGCCAAGTTATGTATTTTTCTCTTAATGTAGAAAGAGAAAGTGATAGCCGTACAGATTTTTTAAATTCCCACTGTAAAGCCTGTATCCCGATGTAAGCTTCTGTTCAACACCTGTGCATAACAACTTTCTATGCTCTAACCACCTCAATAGATAGAATGCTGAGTACCAGTGGATGTTGGTATTTGGCAGTTCTTGTTGTTTTATTTTGTTTTATAGTAAACCCTGTGGTGAAACCTAAAATAATGTTAAAACTTTAAAAGTAAACATTGTGTGTAGTCTTGGCCATGTGTTTTTCAAGATAACCCTTCAAAGAAATTTGTTAAGTATAGGAAAACAAATGTTTTTGATTATTTGTAAACTTAGATTATTTTTTAATGTGCTTATATTTAATGAAAAGACTTAATTTTATTTGTGATTGTTGGAGAAGAATGTTTTTCATAATTAAGAAAACATTTTTATCAGTAGCTATGAACTCTGAAAAATAATTTTTAAAAATATGTAAGCAGAGACCACTGGAGTAAAGTATTTCAAGAGAGTTTCTAGTTAAAACGTTCATTTAAAACTTTAACATTTCTGCTTTATTTCTTTTCGGAAGCTTTAGTTGCTGACATAGAAGGGGCTTATAACTACCTTCAATTATTATCACTAAAGGTTTATGAATAATGACAGAAACAGTAGTTCATCAATTTCTGTAAGATTTCTTTGTACCTTCATAGGAGTGCTGTTGGATTATCCACAGGACTCACTGTAAGTTTTATACAGGTTTAGCACTTGCTCCTGCAATCATGTGAGAGCTGGAGCAACACATTTACACATTCCGATAAACTTCACGTGAATAAAAGCTGAGTGGTCTAGACTCAAATATCTTATTCTTTCTTCTGAGCTAAGAGTTTAATGATAATCTTTGTTCAGTAAAAATTTCATTTGTAGAAGAGTGTGCTAAGCAGTATCTAAAATAGTACTAAGGTGCCCAGCTGGCGTGGTTCAGTGGTTGAGCATCGACTGATGAACTAGGAGATTATGGTTTGATTTCTGGTCAGGGCATGTGCCCAGGTTGCGGGCTGTAGTCCCAGTGTGGGGCATGCAGGAGGCAGCTGAGCAATGATTCTCTCTCATCATTGATATTTCTAGCACTCCCTCTCCCTTTCTCTCTGAATCAATAAAAATATATTTAAAAAAATAATAAAATAAAATAGCAATAAGGCCAGCTAGGGTCTTATTGAAAGGCCATAATGTGAAAATGTTTTGTAAATCGAGTGTAATACAAATGTATAGTATGATGAATGGTACTTAACTGCTTCCTAAAGTTCAATACCTTTTTTGTGTGCTGCTTCATTTTCTTTTTGCCTGGTTCTCATTTTCATATTACCTAGTTTTCCCTCCCCTTTTTAATTTTTCTTGCATTGGTCTAGCCTTTGGTATCTAATAGCATCTATAGATATGTCATTACTGGGAGTTTCTGGGTTAAAGAAGGTAACTCACCTCACATTTGGACTGTACTAGTATAAATAACATAAGTCCTGTCCATACATAAACACCACACATTAATGTCAGCTCTCAGCAAAAGAGGGGGTCATGTGTTTTATTTGAACCTATTCCCTTGTGTTTTGCAGATCAGGGAAACCTTACTCACTAAACAGAAAAAAACCGCAAAACATTTTAAACCAAAAACATTTAGTTGCCTGTATTTGTATCAAAAGAAGGTTTGAAAATCCATAAAAGGTCTGTGACCAGAGAATGTTCTAAGCAATGATACTATCTATATCGTGTAAGGAGCACAAGATAGAGATTTGGGATGGGAATTGGGGCTGGAGGAGAGGAAATTTAATCTCTTCCTTAGGTTTAGGTTGTCAGAGTGACTTCATTATTTTGTATACAATATAATGAAAATTGCCAAAATGATGACTACACCCACATCCAAGTGTATCAGAATGCATTCTGTATTGGGATTTCAGTGATTGGAATTTTTCTTCCTTCTTCATTGGTCTGGTTACACAGAAGTTGGCTGGGGATTAGGGAAATCACAGCTCTCTCTCATCTATATATATCTCTATATATAAAAGCCTAAACGACCATTACGACCGAATGACCGGACAACTGGTCAACCAGTCGCTATGACATGCACTGACTACCAAGGGGCAGATGCTCAATGCAGGAACTGCCCCCTAGTGGTCAGTGCTCTCTCACAGCCAACCTTCCGCGGCCCCTTCCCCTGGCCAGCCAGCCAACCTCCTATGGCCCCTTCCCCCCCATCCCCCAGCTGGCCAACCTCCCTTGGCCCCTCCCTCCCAGCCATCCCTCTCCCCCCCATCGGATCCTAGGAGGGGGGGGGCGGTCAGCCAACCTCCCATGGCCCCTCCCCACAGCTGGCCAACCTCCCGCAGCCCCTCTGCCTGGCCGTCCAGCCCTCCTGATAGACCTCGATTGCCAGGCCGAGGGACCCCACCCATGCACGAATTTGTGCACTGGGTCTCTAGTCACTAATCATGAGCACAAATGAATTGCTCTGGGTGGTCTGTATACTAGATTGAACCATCATTCTCTACCAATTTCACCCACAGCTTCAAAGTTTCTCTACTTGCCAGTTTTCTTGGATAGAACTGTGGAATTAAAGACCAAAGCCACAGAGAAATGACAGCCTCAGATCTGTGTCCTCAGTGTTAAGTGTTTATAGACTTAATATTTAGGGATCACTGTAAGTCATAATGCAGTAAGATGGGAAAAGGTTGAATATTTCTGTACTGTTACTTCTTTGTGTTATAAAAAGATTTAGAAAAAATTTTACTAACTAGTTAGTTGCTTTGCTTTTTCTTCCAGAACTGTTTGGTTAATACAATAGGGGAGTAGTCTCAGCTGTGGATTATAATAAAAATTCAGGTGAAGCGTCTACATATTCATGAACTAGAAGAAATACAAGACATCTATGCTATAGGGATCCTAATGTCTTTTATCATATAAATATTACACAAAGAAAACTTACAATAGATATAAAAAACTTTACAATCTGTACATTTGCTTTTTCCTTGTAGTTCTTTTACATAATACATCTTTAGACAGAAATTCACAACCAGTAAAAAGGCAAGTCAGTTAACAAAGAAAATGAGAAGTGACATTGCTGTTAACAAAACAAAACTTGTCATTGTTTTGGCAGATAAATATATGCCCAAACTTATTCAAGTCAGTACAAGACACAGAAATTTGTATTCTAGGCTTAACAACCAAAAGTCTATTCCAGATTATTTCTGTAGATTCCACACAAATAATACTAATTTACACACTACTTCTTTGGCCCTAGGTGGGCTGTAAAAACCTGTGATGAAATTACTGCTTCCTGTCCATTCAGGGGTAAGATTCTTTAGCCATGTTAATTTGACTAAGAGGACTGATCTTTTGAATTCCTATAGATTACAGATTATTTACATAGAAACTAACCTGGAATCTGTATTTTGGGTGGAGGGGAAGAAAAATGAAAAAATTATTGTTATGTGGCTATGTTTAAAGAAAATTGAGCTGTACTGTTTTTGGTTTATATCAGAGGAAAAGGAAAATAGTGAAGAATATGAATTTTAAAGATGATCATAAACTCATGTTCCATATAATGTAAGTGGCACAGTAGAGTAGCTTCTATAAGTTCACATATTAGGTGGTGAGATTTAAGTCTGTGTGTAAAGCGATTTTTTAAAACACAAAGGAAAACTAGTCACTAGCTTTGTCACTAAAGCTCAGTATAAGGAGGTATGCAGATAGGAACTAGTCTTTCATCAAATTAACTTCTTAAATGGTCTGAATCCTCCAAGGAAGCTACATTATGTATATGTACTTTGTACTCTAAGACTTGGTGTTGTTGGCTTTAGGTTAGGAACTTCTAAAGGCTGGGATTATATTCTTGGCATGTTCTTCAACTTGTTTATGAATTTCAAGTCAGTTTTGTACCAGGCTTTCTAGGCATGGAAGGTAAGTCGCCCCCCCCCCCCCACCCCCCCAAAAAAAAAAGAAAGAAAGAAAATGATTCATTGGACTTTTTTAGAGAAATAGTCTAACAAAGGAGTTAGTGATCAGTTGCCTAGACAACTAAATGAGCCCATTTATCATTAACTTTCATTAATAGATAACTCACAGGGCTCTTACTTATGAGGTTGCAAACAATACAATTTACATTGTGAGTAAATTCTTCATCTTATAACAAACTGAACTTATATTTGTGAATTTATGTAAATAACTAAAAGTTGTTTAATTCACTTCCACATTTTATGAAGGGGGAAACAAAATTCCAAGTCACATGCATGCCTGATACTGTATATACATAATATATACACATATATACACGCTGTCAGCTGTTATTGAAGGCTCTGATCCAATTAGCTTATTTCTAAATGGTATTAATAGTGAAGGCAGTATACTGGTAAGCACAAATTCAGCTCAAAAAGTTACTTAAAAAAGGGTAAAGATGGCACATGAAGTGCTAAGCAGACTCTGTTTTTTAAAAAGTAGCCATAAAGTCCTAATTCTATCCACTGTAGAGGACAGACATGTTTCCATTATGTTTATTTTAGCTAATTACTCAGTCATGTATAAAATGGTAATAGTTATGTTTTCAGGCATTTAATTTGATTACTTATTTATTATGACTTTGTGACTAAATCTATTAGTTGATATACAACTGGATAATGTCATGTTGTTGAATAGGCCTCCACAATTTGTACTTACATTCTAGAAGTTCAGCTCTAGGTAGATACCCTTGTGTATATGATGAGCACAGTGAGGAAGGATGGGGTGGGAGGGGCTAATTGATTAGATTTGAGGTAGTGAATCTGGAACCAGATTCATAAAGAATGCTGGAATGTAGAGGAAGTGAATCTACTTTAATATTATAAATAAGCTTTGAGTGGAACAAAGTAAATTCCCCAGTTTACAGAAAACCCCAGGGAAGGAAGCAAATTTATTTTCCAGAGATTTTAGTTCTGAGGAAGAAGCAGCCAGGCAGGCCACATAGGAGAAGCTACCTTGTCAGAAAACTATAGTCATGTTTTTTCTTACTTTTGCCCTTAGTCTCAGGGGAAAATGTTAGTGGTATGAATGGCAAAAATTTTGCATTTTTCAGTTTTCCTCCCCTTTGATTCAACTGACTGGAAGAGAAAACAATATCACACATTACCGGGGGGTGGAGTGGGGGAGAGACTAGCTTTTCCTTTAAAGTACCCCCTTTAAAGCTGGTCACTCTAAGGTTCCCCAATCTTTGTGTTGACTGGTTTGGGAAATGAGATCTCTGATCCATTTATCTACAGATTGTGCTTCTTGCGTTTCTGGGCTAAGAACTGTCACCCTGTTCCATCTGAGCTAAGACATGATTGCTTTTTGCAAGTTGGAGTCCTTCTATTTTCTTCTGTGCATATCTCAGTTGGATCTTTAGAGCATCATTATCTGCTTTCAGTGTATTTATTTCCTAAAGAGAAAGGAGAATAAGGTATGTTAATAAAGCAGCAATGAATAGTAAATCAGTTACAGTATCGGAAGTTCTACACTTGATTGGCATCTCCCATTCATTGTGGCTGAGTATTAAAAAATTTTTTCAAGAGTTATTTTACCCTTAATATAAACTAATAAGTTAAATAACAAATGAACATGTGCAGACAGCAGTTAGTTTTTGTTAATCATATCAAAGGCTAACAGGCAGAATAAACCATTCCAGGGCAATAGGTGGATAATGACACAACCTATGGAAGTTGTGTAGCAGGAGACCTAAACTTGGCAGAAACAAAGTCTCTGGTCAGGTTTGAGGTTTGAAAGCAGTGATTCGGAATACTGTAATATGATATATCATAGTTCATTTTTCTTCAAGTGTTTTTACCTCCAAATCATTGAAAACTAGTGAACTCTTGGCAAAGACAGGAATTTTATCCCAGCCTCTAAACTGGAATCCAGTTATCTAATTTTCAGTGATTTAATTATATGGACAGCAGTTGGTTTCCAGTCTTGAAGTTTTTCTTAAAATTGAAATATATTTGGCACATAACATTATATAAATTTAAGGTGTACAACCTGTTAATTTGATAATTATGTATTGTAATATGATTGCCAAGGTCGCTATAATTAACACCTCTATCATGTTACATAATTCTTTTTAGAAGTTGGAATAATTCTAGTCTTCTTAGCAAGTTTGATGATACAATATTATTGTCTATAATCTCTATACTGTGCATTATATCTCTAGGGCTAATTTATCACTTGTTGTAAATTTGTACCCTCAACATCTGTCCTCTTCTCCCACCCCCATTGCCTGGTAACCACCATTTTATTCTCTGCTTTTATAAGTTTGCTTTTTAAAATTCTACATGTAAGTGATTCAGTATAGTACTTGTTTTTCTCTGTCTGACTTACCTCAGTGTGCTCAAGGTTCATCCATGTGTCACAAACAGGAAGATTTAATTTTTTTATGGTTGAATAATATTCAATTGTATACATGTACCACATTTTCTTTATCCATTCATCTGACTATGGACACTTAGCTTGTTGCGTATCTAAATAATGCTGCAGTGAACAGGTGGTGTATTTATGCTTTTGAGTTAGTGTTTTCTTCTGATAATTACTCAGAAGTGGAATTGCTAGATCATGTGATAGTTCTATTTTTAATTTTTTGAGGGACCTCCATATTGTTTTCCACAGTGGCTGTACCAATTAACATTCCCGCAACAGTGCACAAGGGTTCCATTTTCTCCATGGCCTTGTCAGCACTCATTACTTGTCTTTTTTAACATTTATCTTTATTGTTGAACGTTTAACAGGTATCTCTTTTTTCCCCCCATCCTACACCCTTCTCCTTCTAGGCCTTCTCTGCACTATTGTCTGTTCATGGTCTGTGCATATAAATTCATTGGTTAATCAGTTCCTGCCCACCCCCATCCCCCTGAAATACGTCAGTCTGTTGCATGCTTCAATGTCTTTGGATCTTTTTTTGTTCATCAGTTTATTTTGTTCGTTAGATTCCAAATATAAATGAGATCATGTGATACTTGTCTTTCTCTTTCTGGCTTATTTCACTTGGCATAATACTCTCCAGGTCCCTCCATGCTGTCTCAAAGGGTAAGAGAGCCTTCTTTTTTTACAGCTGCATAGTATTCCATGTGTAAATGTATCACAGTTTTTTAATCATTCATTTACTGATGGGCACTTGGGCTATTTCCAGATCTTAGCTATTGTAAATAATGCTGCTATAAACATAGGGGTGCATATATTCTTTCTGATTATGATCAGTGTTTCTGGCTTCTTAGGATTAATTCCTAGAAGTGGGATCCGATGATAGCGGTTCTAACAGGTGTCAGGTGATATTTCATTGTAGTTTTTTTTTTTTTTTAATCCTCATCGGAGGATATTTTTCCATTGATTTTTTAGAGAGAGTGGAAGGGAGAGGGAGAGACATAGAGAGAGAAACATCGATGTGAGAGAGACACATTGATTGGTTGCCTCCTGCACACGCCCCGACCAGGGCCCAGGCCCAGGCCTAGATGGAGCCCACAACCTGGGCATGTGCCCTTGATCAGAGTCGAACCTGGGATTCTTCAGTCTGCAGGCTGACGCTCTATCCATTGAGCCAAATTGGCCAGCACTCATTGTAGTTTTGATAGGCATTTCCCTGATGATTAGTGATGATGAGCACATTTTTATGTACCTGTTGGCCATCTGTATATCTTCTTTGGAAAATATCTTTAGTTCTTCTGACCAGTTTTTTTAATCCTTCCCCCAGGATATGTTTATTGATTGTAGAAAGAGAGGAGGGAGAGGGTGAGAAACCAATTAGTTGCCTCCAGTATGCTCCTGACCGGGGATTGAACCTGCAACCTGGGTATGTGCCCTGACAGAAATCGAACCAAACCCTTTTGGTTTATGGGACGATGCTTCAACCAACTGAGTCACTAGGCCAGGGCTGCCCATTTTTAAATTGGATTTTTTTTGTTATTGTTTGAGTCTTTTAAAATACATATTTTGGACATTAATCCTTTATTTGATATATAGTTTGCAAAAATGTTCTCTCATTCTTTATCATTTTGTTGTTTCTTTTGGGAAAGCTTTTATGTTTAAATGTAGTTTTATTTGTTGATTTTTACTTTTATTTTTGCTTTTGGTGTCATATCCAAAAAAATCATTGTCAAGACTAATATCAAGGAACTTCTCCCGAACTATGTGTTCTTTCAAGAGTTCTATAATACCAAGTTTTACGTTTGATCCATTTTGAGTTATTTTTGGGGAGCAGTGTAAAATTCCCAGTTTCATTGCTCTGTATGTGTTTTTCCAAAACCATTTGTTGAAGAGACCTTATTTTCCGCACTGGGTGCTCTTGGCTCACGCATTGAATATTAGCTGACCTGTACAAGCAGGAGTTTCATTCTGAGCTCTTGTTTCTGTTACATTGGTCTACATGTTTATTTTTGTGCCAGTACCATACTGTTTTTTATTACTGTAGCTTTATGGTGAAGTTTGAAATCAGGGAGTGTGGTACCTCCAAGAATTTTTTTAAATAGGGATTGCTTTGGTTATTTGGGGTCTTTTGTAGTTCCATACCATTTTTAGGATTATTTTTCCATTTCTTAAAGAATGCCATTGGTATTTTGATGGAGATTACATTGAATCTATAGATTGCTTTGGACAGTGTGGATATTTTAACAATATTAATTCTTCTAATCCATGAACACAGGAGTCTTTCCATTTATGTTTTCTTCAGTTTTAGCAAAGTCTTGTAGTTTTCATTGTATAGATCTTTTACTTCCTGGGTTAAATGTAGTCCAAGTATTTTATTGTTTTTGATGCTATTGTGAATGGATATTTTAGATGTATATTAGTAGAAATTCAACTGATTGCTGTATCCTGCAATTTTACTGAAATTGTTGATTAGTTCCAACAGTTTTCTGGTTGAGTCTTTGGATTTTCTACATACCAGTACAGACTCAGAATATCTGCAGACAATCCTATTTTGGATGACTTTTATTTCTTTTTCTAGTTTAATCACTCTAGCTAAGACTCAGTACTGTACTGAATAAGAGTGGGCATATGTTGAGCCATCCTTGCATCCAAGGGTAAATCCCACTTAGCCCTGGTATATAATCCTTTCTGTGTGTTCCTGAATTTGGTTTGCTAATATTTTGTTGATAATTTTTGTATCTATATTTATCAGTGATATTGGTCTGTATTTTTCTTGTGGTGCCCTTATCTCTCTTTGGTAACAGTTAGGTAATGGTGCCCTTGTAGAATGAGTTTGGAAGTATTCCCTCCTCCTCAATTTTTTGAAAGAGTTTGAGAAGGATTGGTGTTAATTCTTCTTTGAGTAGAATTTGCTAGTGAAGCCATTTCATTATCCTGGGATTTTTTTGTATTGGGAGGTTCATTACTATTCAGTCTCTTTGTTCATTATTAGTCTGTTCAGATTTCTACTTCTGTCTGGGTATACTGTGTGTTTCTAGAAATGTATCCATTTATTTTAGGTTATCTAATTTATTGGCATATAATTGTTTATAATAGTTTCTTGTGGTGTCATGTATTTGTGTAGTAACAGTTGTAATACCACATTTTGCATTTCTAATTTTATCCTTTTAAAGAATCAGCTTTTAGTTTTGTCGAGCCTTTCTATTTTTACTTGTCTCTATTTCACTTATTTTTGTTCTGATCTTAATAATTTTCTTCTTTCTTCTAACTTTGGGTTTAATTTGTCCTTTTTTAAGTCCCAAGAGGTGTAAAGTAGGTTGTTTGTTTGAGATTGTTTTAGATATGCATTTGGTGCATACTGTAAGTTTTGATATGTTGTATTTCCATTTGTGTAGAGGTAATTTTTTATTTCCCATTTGATTTCTTTGACTCAATGGTTGTTCAGTTTCCCTCTTGTTAATTTCTAGTTTCATACCATTGTGGTCTGAAAATATAGTTGGTATGATTTCAGTCTTTAAATTTGCTGTGATTTTTTTGTGCCCTATCATGATCTATCCTGGAAAATATATATTCTGCTGCTGCTGTTTAAGAGAATTTTCTATGTATGTCTGTTAAGTTGATTTGTTCTAGAGTGTGGTTCAATTCTAAAATTTCCTTGTTAATTTTCTGTCTGGATGATCTATCCTTTGATAACAGTAGGGTGTTGAAGTCCCCTACCATTATTGTGTGGTCTATTTCTCCCTTTAGATCTGTTAGTATTTGCTTAATACATATATTTCAGTGCTCCAATGATGGCTGTGTGTGTACATATATATATATATATATATATATATTTATAATTGTACATTTGTCTTGTGTGGCAATGGCCACCTTGTTTTAGTTTCTATTCATGTGGAATATTCCTTTTCTATCCATTTTGAGCCTGTGTCTAGAGCAGCCATGGGCAAACTACGGCCCGCGGGCCAGATCCGGCCCGTTTGAAATGAATAAAACTATTGAAAAAAAAGACCGTACCCTTTTATGTAATGATGTTTACTTTGAATTTATATTAGTTCACATAAACACTCCATCCATGCTTTTGTTCCCGCCCTCCGGTCCAGTTTAAGAACCCATTGTGGCCCTCGAGTCAAAAAGTTTGCCCACCCCTGGTCTAGAGCTCAAATGAGTTTGCTATAGATAGCATATAATTGGGTCTCTTTTTAAATCCATATGGCCTTTTGATTGGTAAACTTATCTATTTATATTTAGAGTGATTATTGATGTATAAGAACTTACTATTGCCATCTGGTTGTTGTGTATCTCCATTGTTTCTTTTTCTCTCAGTTTATCTTTGTAAAGTGGTAATTTTCCATGGTAATTTGCTTAGTCTCCCCTTTTGGTGTTTCATAACTCTACTTTAGATTTTTGCTTTGTGGATACCATGTGGCTTATAAAAAACATATCATAGATAAAATAGTCCTTTTATGCTGGTAGCACCTTATCTTCATTTGTCTATAAAGTTTCTACTCTTACTTCTCCCCTTTTATATTTTTGATATCACAATTTACCTCTTTATGCTTTGAATTCATTGAGAAATGAAATTAGGTAATAGTTATTTTTAATACTCCTTAAGTCTTTATAATAATAAAAGTGTAATATGCTAATTAGACCAGACAGCCAAACGATCTTCTGGACAAAGTTGGGTCTGCGAGGGCCAAGCCCCTTGCACGAATTTTGTGCATCGGGCCTCTACTACTACCATAAACAGTTAACACCCCTTTCTAATAGATAGTTATAGTTTTTCTAATTCTAAAGAGTAGTGTAGGAAAGTAGGTTATGGGACAACTGGGCCAATAGCAGTTGTCTAAATATTCTATAGGGTCAATACTAACAATGTACTTCTTTTTAGAGTTTACGGTGAGCTGTGGATGGGGCTGTTGAATTCTAGGTAGTCTAATCATGTAAGGATTTTACTTAATGGAAAGTGGGACTCATTGTGTGTGTTTTTTAAACATAATTGTGAATTCTTGTCCCTAGGTCACTATGACAAGAATAAATGTAAAGAGAGGCAAACGGTAAGAGGGTTTGTGAGTTCTGGTATTAGTGGGTAGGAATTATTCTGGACCTACCTCATATGAAATCTCTCTACCACCCATTTCTTGCATCAGGAAGTCATTGTTGCCATCTACATTGTTCCTTTTCATGGACATGTAAAATGTCAAGACCTGAAGCAAACCGTAAAGAGAGCATATGGAATCCTGGCCCTGTGTTTTACAGAGGACTAAACAGGTCAAAGACTTTAATGGGTAGTTGTGTTTCTGGGGACTAGAAACACAAATCTTTGTAAAGTTTTTTCTCCTCTATTGGGTTCGCTTTTCAAGATTTCTTTCACCTTTTGATTGACTTAAAGCATGTGTTAAAAATACTCTGAGTAAGAGAGTACCTTTCATCCAGAAAATCTGTTCTTTTTTTCATGTTTCTCCTAATGTTATATCTTTTTGTTTTTAATATATTTTATTGATTTTTTTCACAGAGAGGAAGGGAGAGGGATAGAGAGTTAGAAACATCGATCAGCTGCCTCCTGCACACTCCCCACTGGATATGTGTCTGCAACCAAGGTACATGCCCTTGACCGGAATTGAACCCTTGAGTCCGCAGGCCGACGCTCTATCCACTGAGCCAAATCGGTTAGGGCCTAATGTTATATCTTTTTGTTCCAGACACCAAACCAAGATTTTCTTCTTATTATGTATGTAACTTCCCTTTTTTAAAAAAAATATTTTTTATTGATTTTAGAGAGGATCATCAATTGGCTGCTTCCTGCATGCCCCCTACTGGGGATAGCCCACAACCCGGGCATATGCCCTGACCAGGAATCGAACTGTGACCTCCTGGTTCACTGAGCCATGCCAGCTAACTTGTTTCTTTAAATGTGCCTCTAAGTCAGTTCCTGGAGTTTGACAGGAAAGGTACAACACTGAGAACAAGGTGGGAATCCTGAGGCCATCTTGCACAGCTTCACTATGTATTATATAGACTTATGTAAGGAATTCTATCTAGGTGAATGTTGGCTTTATATTGTAATAATAGACCTCCAAAAACACATTGCCAACCTTGATGCTTGCCATTGGTAAGAAACTATATCTATAAACAAGAGGTCTATGTAAGCCAGCTCACTGTGAGTTTTGCATGCTGAACAAAAAGAAGTATGCTAGTAATTGACCCTACAGAGGAGAGTATTTGGAAACTACCTGTTCTATCCTACTTTCCTTTTTTTTTTAAAAAAAAAAAAATATATATTTTATTGATTTTTTTTTTTTTTTTTTTTACAGAGAGGAAGGGAGAGGGATAGAGAGTTAGAAACATTGATGGGAGAGAAACATTGATCAGCTGCCTTCTGCACACTCCCCTACCAGGAATGTGCCCACAACCAAGGTACATGCCCTTGACCAGAATCGAACCCGGGACCTTTCAGTCTGCGGGCCGACACTCTATCCACTGAGCCAAACCGGTTAGGGCACCTTCTTTCCTTTTTATTTTTTAACCTCCTCATTCCCTTCTCTCAAATCTTTGGCACCATATTCCCAAACTCCTTTTGCCACTATTAGGTACCTTATTAGACATTGTGAGCCTAACAGGAAAAAGAAGCTCCCAGTAGCACAATTTTTACCATTTTATAGATTATATTGCTGTATATTATATTCAGCTATGCATTTGCCAACTACTATTGATTTAGCTCTTCAGCACATTCCCTGATGTGTTAGAAATGATCTCCCTCATTTACATTAAGAGGGAGGCCTTTCAGTTGGTGAATTATAATACACTTTTTTTTTTTTTTTTTTTTGGTAGCACACTGATCACCTACCTTCTTTTAGGAAGATGCCTAGGCAACCATGAAGGTCCCCAAACATAACACTGATGAATAGAGTAAAAATTATAAGGAAGAAGGATTTAGGCAAGTTCACTGTAAGTCCCATCTCGAAAAGGGGTGTGGGGTCAGCATTGTAAAACTGGTCAGTAGGAGTTGTTTTGGAGCCTCCTGTGAACAGTTTGGGCCCTGGCACGTCTATGGCAATAGGGAGCCCTGTATATGTCCTGTTGTAGTCATGTAATGTGAGTCAGTGTCCCCACTCGTTTCTTTGAGAGAAAGCCAGGATCTCTTTACTTGTTTTAATCTGCTAGTAATCAACTTGGACTGAATCTTCAGTTTATGCTCCCTTCCCTGGTTTAGCCCCATTTCTCTCAGAGTCTGAAAACAAAGGAAAAGGTACCTGTTCCAGCTCTTGGTAAGTTGGGAGTCTGAGGTGGCGGAGTTCCTCCTTTGATTTCATGAAGGAGTCTTTATTCTCCCACTTGACAAAAGCCCGCTTTCTGACCAAGACTGGGCTGGGGCATGGAGACGTAGGACTAGGAAGCACGTACAGAGTGTCCTGGGCTGTCTTCCTTGGGGAAGATAGCGCAAAAGGACCAGAAGGGCCCTCGCTGCCCATCCAAGGCAGTACTTCGGTCTGGGTGGCCTTGTGGGCGACAGTCCTCTTCAGCCGAACAGAAATCTTCTGTGAGGACACTCCCATGAGCATGATGGTCCGATCTTTACTTTCTTCACTTTGTTCCACAGCCTCCCCATTAGGGAATGGAAAAGGTCCATCCTCAGGTGCTGTAGGAAGACACGAGACATGTTAGTGCTCTAGTTCAGAAAAGCAGAGACTCAGATTGATACATTAGTTTCAGAAAGCCCATGGGCCCCAAATGGGCTCATTTTTAGGCACCCAATTTAGGGGGTGAAGGGGACTGAAACTCAGGGACTTTGCTGGCCAAGCTGTGGCTGCTGGTATCAGGCTGCATTCACCCTGAGGAAGGGACATCTTTTTCTATTTGCACAAAGGTTGCCTAGAGGGAAAACTGAAGCCCCTGCCTCAGGGCTGTCATGTTTCATAAATATCTTCAGTAGACCCTGGGATTTGGGAGCTGTCAGCACTCAGGTTTTGGTCCTGATACAGGTGGCCTTGATTAGCTGCTAGGAATTCTCTGTGGCACCTATTTGCGAATTTGTACAGTAGGCACAGCTTAACTGTGATAGGGAAGTTCTAGCAAATATATTGCCCCCCTTTGATACTGATGAGAAAAGGAGAGAGGAGTCATTCTGGTTTTCTTCTTCGAACAACAGCCTTATCCAGGACCCAGCTAGGTATTAACCAAAAGAAGTAAGTTCCTGGAGATGTAGAGTAGGAGCGGATGAATTTGAGATGGGGGTAGGCTTTAAGATAGGCAGCAGATCGTCTATGTTTACTGCTTTGCAAAGACTCAGCAGTAAGTTTAAAATACGCTTTTTTATTAGCAAAATTTCCAGCTAAGACATTGGATTGGTAAAGTAAAATGGCTTTTGGACAACGAGAGTTTTCTACTTAGCATTTGTAATCCCAATCAACAATTGTAATATTAGAAATACTTGTAATACTTTTAAGGATCCTACCTAGTATTTTTCTCTAGGGGAACATAATTTAAATTAACATTAAATACCCAAATAAAGCTCAAAATTATAATTATACTGTTATTTAAGTACCAGAATAAATTGTTATATTTACTCTAAAATAATTTCACTGTCTCTTTTGGAGGAGTAAGGTAAGTATGAAAAGATACAGCCTTTTTCCCGACTTCACGCTGAGACCCCAGACCTCTGTGTTATTTTCTGCATGAAATTTGCATTTTATGTGGCAGTTGTTCCCAAAGATGATGTAACTCTTAAAATATAGGGCACATAATATACAGGCATGTCTTCCATAGTGGAATTCGTGCTGGTTTCTATTAAGAAAGAGAAGGATGGCATGGCTCAGTGATAGAGCGTCGACCTATGAATCAGGAGGTCATGGTTCGGTTCCTGGTCAGGGCACATGCCAGGGTTGTGGACTTGATCCCCAGTGTGGGGCGTGCAGGAGGCAGCCAATCAGTGATGTTTCTCTCTCTCTCCCTCTCTGAAATAAATTGAAATATATTTACAAAAAGAAAAGAAATAGAAGGGTAAAGATAATCTTTCCTCCCTGAAAACTTCATCCTTCCCATTTCACTTTCCAAGATAGATGTTCCCAGTGCCTCCTTACCATGGAGCAGATCTTTGGCTCCCAGTGAGCAGAGGTTGAACGTTGGCCCCACAGCGGTGCTATTGTCTGTGAGAGCTGCTGAGTTCTTGGCTCGCTTCTTGCACTCGAACACAACCAGATCTTTGCATTGTTTGTGGCAGTTCATCCCGCAGTCTATGGACAAGACACCCTGGTCAGAAAGTCTTTCAGCACACATCGCTTTCTTCTCTAGGGCCCTCTTGTCACATATGCCTGCCCTCTCTTCTGGAGCTAGGACACCTAGTGAACCCAGCATTCCCACTTGGTCAGTCCTGGATCTCACAGTCCTGTTGTAGCCCTTACCACAAGGTGAGGAAGCGGCACCTGTTGCCGCGGAGGGAAGAGGTGGTGTCTTGGTTATCCCACACATACTGCCTACTCTAAGGAGACCCTCTAGAGCAGTGGTTCTCAACCTTGGCTGCACATTAGAATCACCTGGGAATCTTTTTAAATCCTGATTTCTGGGCCTCATCCTCTGGAAAATGTTTCTTTGTTACTAATGTTGTGGCCCCAACCCATAACAAAGAAACAGAATTTCCGGAGGATGCGGCCCAGAAGTCAGGATTTTGAAAAGATTCCCAGGTGATTCTAATGTGCAGCCAAGGTTGAGAACCACTGCTCTAGAGGCTCTCAGCTGTTAGGTCTTAGCCTTCCTTCCTTTCATTAAAATGTCTCTTTTCCTTCATTCCTGAACTTTTCTAGTCACAGGGAGGTGTCTACTCATCAAAGGACAGCTGACATAGGTGTTGGTAATCACTTCTCTTCCAAAAGTGATTCTTTGCCTTTCACTGGGGATCTGCCTCTCCAGGGCTGTCTGGGAGCATAACCTCCTAGCAGCCACCCGTATTTCCAAGGCAGAGAGAGGCTCTTATAAGGGAAGCTGCATAACTGGTCACCCAGGCACTCCTCTTCTATATGGTGGCAGTCACCCTCGAGGGTTCCTCTAGGGGAGCCAGTCTGAGGATGAGGCTCTGCTGAGAAGTTGTGGACTGAACGGACAACTACTATGAGCAAACAGTCTTTATAGGAATATACCTAAGACCAGGGAAAACAATGCAGTGGACAAAGCTGAGCCTTACCTTTACATCGATATCCTTGTTTGATCACTCCCCAGAGCTGTGAGATAAGAGACAGAATGCACCACATGTCACTCAGCTATCTGGCAGGAGGCTAGGCACTGACATCACTCTTTTTTTTTTTTTTAATATATTTTATTTATTTTTTACAGAGAAGAAGGGAGAGGGACAGAGAGCTAGAAACATCGATGAGAGAGAAACATTGATCAGCTGCCTCCTGCACATCCTCTACTGGAGATGTGCCCGCAACCCAGGTACATGCCCTTGACCGGAATCGAACCTGCGACCCTTGAGTTCGCAGGCCAACACTCTATCCACTGAGCCAAACCAGTCAGGGCATGACATCACTCTTGATTTTCCTTCATTCTACTTCCTACCTCAAAAGGAGGGAAACCTCATTTCTCTCTTATGTATTGTCCCTTCTGACCTTAAATTGAAAACGGGGAGAGTTTGTGCTGATCAGTCAAATGTTCTCAGGAAGCTCACAGGATTTATGAGTCAGGACTTCTCTAGGCCAGAAGTGGAATCATATCAGGATCCCAAACTAACAAATCTATAGAACCCTGGAGTCAGGGACTGGGTTAGGGGGAAACTGTTGGTCAGAGGCGGGGCAGAGGATGGGCAGAGCCCAGACGTAGGGAGGGGTGAGGATGTTTTTTCCTAACATTTGAAACATATGAATATATAATACTTAAAAAATATATATCCCAAACTTAATACTTACTTATCCAAGGCCCCGTACCAGAGGGACAAATAAATCAGGAACAAACGGGAAAAGATGAATGCACATAAATGCATTTGAGGACTAGGTTACTCTAGGTGTTTGCTTAGGCTCTAAGCTGGGATGAGCTGATAAGGGCTATGAGGTCTGTGCACAGCTTAGTCATTTAACCTGTCTTGTACCCCTCCCCAAGTTCAGCCCTGAAGCACTCCAAGGACAACTTACAAATCCAGCACAGTTGTCACAGAAAGTAGGCTTCAGGTAGGTTGTCTCTTGGAAGTTGTGAGGAAAGCCCAGGCCCAGCTTGGAGTAGATGGAGCTGGCCCTCATGAAGTAGGCTGTGATCTCGTCCCGGCTGATGAGGCCTTCCCTGCCAGCAAACGACAGACCAGGATGTGGGGGGGTGGGGGGAATTCACCTTTTCATCCTTGAGTGGAAGTACACTATGTATTACCTGGTAATTACCACCATGAGCCGTCCTTTTAATCATACATGAATAGCTTGTAATAAGTAGTGGAGGCAGCATTACTCACTTTTATGGAGTTGTTCTTTGGCTAACTGAGGTTTTCCCAACTAATTTAACCACTATCTACAGGACTTTAAAAAATTATGGAAATTGTGTGTATAGGGAGAGAGATACCTTATGCTGCAGTTTCTGACTTCAGACAGTAATAATACATAACTTGAACCCACCAACCATATATTTGGTTTTATATAGAGAACCAAGATAGAACATATGTAACCTTGTGAATAGTAAATATGCTGATTGTTAATAAATATTAGTTTTTCATGATCTGTAAGGACAAAACAAGAATGAGACTAAACTTCTTAAAATTCATAGTTGACTATTACTAACCTGGCTTCATGATCACTTGTGGTCCAATCCAAAGCCAGATAGGCATCATTTGATGATTGCTCTCTTAGCCCGAATATTCATTAAGTAATCATAGCAGCGACACATCCAAGTTTAGAAGTTCTTTTAGTGATACACAAACTGCTTTTACTAAAGGGCTCACAGCCACATTCCCATACACAAACTCTCACCTGTCTTTGTCCATCACACAGAAGGAAAACGGAAAACTCGCAGCAATTTTTTCAAATTCTTCCTGAGAAATGTATCCGTCTTGGTCATGATCATAGTTCTTGAAGACAGACTGTGAAAAAGGAGTTTCTTTGGTGATCACCCTTTAGGCAAGTGGCAAAGGGGCTGGGGCGGCTGGTAGGAGCCTCTCCTCCTCCCCCTCTGAGGGGCGGGGATGAAGAAATGCAGGTGAAGCTGCTGCAGAGAAGCGTGGGTCACCTCTGGAGGGTGGCCAGGGGCTTTGGATCCATTAGCACAGCAGTTATGCCGCCACCCTGGCCAGTGTACTGTTGCCGCACAGGGGTGTTCTCCCTCCCTCTGCCCTTCCTTACTCAGCTCAGACGGCACTTCCTCTGTGAAGCTATAGCGCAGTTGGAAGGGCTCCCTCCCCTCTTAATCCTCAGTTACTCGTCCTGTCACTCTCTGGCTGTTACTTTTCTGTGGTTATGCTGGAATGGTCCATAGGGATAAATGTAGAAATATGAACCTAATGTACTGCCCCTCAGCATTTAGCACAGTGCACTCAAACAAGTGCCAAGATTTTCAGTTTTAGATTCTCATTACCTTTTACTCAAACCTTTTCCAACACCTTTCTGCCTCCAAATCAACTGACAAACTTTAAATCTATTCTCTCCTGCTAGGCCTGTCAGAGGAGGCTCACCTCCCCCCACATAAGGCCAAAGTGTGTTGGCCCAATGTTACTGAGCTGTTCTGCAGCCACAGTGTGAGGAGTAAGTTGTCCCTGGGCTCACACAGGAACGAGTTTCCAGTTTCTTACCTTGTGTTTCTACCACTCCCCCCCCCCCCCCCCCCCGCCCCAGCCCCACATACAAAACGAAGCCAGGCAGTGTCTTGCTTTTATCTGGTGAAAGCTGTACTTACATCCACCATCCGCTGGACGTGCTTGCTTATAGTCTTTGGGTCAGGTTTGGGAGATACCCCAGAGGCCCAGTCCACTACTACTGGTGGCTTTGAAGGTGTTAATGGCTGAAATGAAATAAGACAAAGAGATCCCCATGACTGTAATGCAGTAATCCACAGCCCCTTCCTCTCCCACTACCTGAGGCTGCAACCACCTGCCAGCTGCAGATGACCCCAGCTATGCCCGTGGCGGGGAGCAGAGAGCCCACATACTGAAAGAACAGTAATCGTGGCTCACACAAGCGTTATGTTTTACTGTTTCCAATACGCTCCTCACGTACGTCATCTCCATCTAAACCTTTTGTCAAAGCTATCAACAAAGCGTAAAGTGGATCACTTAAATTTCCTCTCTGTTCTCCACTGGCTACTTAATAGAGATAGGAGGAGGAGGAAAATAGCTAAAAGGCAGGAAAGTGCATAGACAAGCTGAGATGGGATCCACTCTAAGTATTTAAGACTTGGCCCAAATTAAAAGCTCTTCTAAAAATAGGAGAAGATACCCTTTCCATTGAAATGCCTTTTAACATTCTGAAAATGGAATCTATCAGGTATTTTCAGTGAACATTGTTAATTACAATAGGAAGCTAGAACTTGCTCTTCTGTATAGATACAATGAAATTTAGCCACAGGTAAGCTGAATTTCTTCTGTGGGGGCAAATCTTTCCTTGAGTACCACTTGTTTTGGGAAGTGGTACTCAAGGGAAGAGTACCACTGTGGGGAGTTACTGGTCATTCAGAAGGAAGATGAATCATTAAACCTGTCTGTAGGAGAGGCGGGGCCAGATAACCTGGTATGTTTGGACTGGGTAGCGCTAGCTCTGTGCTGTTTGAGGTCTTCTCTGCACAGGGGGTCAAAAAACTTAGTAGACTGCTCTTTCTGACCCAGGTGAATGCAGAGTGATGGGGCTTTCCTGTCTACCAAGCTAGAAACCCTCCGAGGTTAGCTTCTGAGAGTGCGCATATGGCTCACATTCTTATCAACAAATCACAGGAGGGAAACTGATGTGGGGCCACTTTATAATACATAGGAGGGCGAGGGCGAGTATTCTCTCCCATCTCTAATCTGCAAACCACTGGCCAACTCCCCCATGCAATCTGATGCTCTGCGGTGTTTAGTTATTTACTGCTCACACACTAGTTATCCCTTCAAGAGGACTATTTGGTCAGGATCTGTTCCTCACACATGTGGAAGTTTTCTCTGTGCCTCGCACAGGCTTGGGCACAAAGGAGACACCTAATGCTCTTATAAAACTGAACTAAAAGGCCGATCCTGTTACCTGCAAGAATCGTAATAGGAAAACTCACGGGGGCTCTGTGGTTCCTTGGTTCCCGGGCGTAGGAGAGCTCGTAGATTTCATCCTCAGTGTAATAGAGATCGAGGGATAACTGTGGATCAAAGCAACAGGGTTACCTGCTAGGATGTTGTATTTCTTCCCCTCTTGCTTCTTCCTCTCCGGTGGGTTACTCTTCTAGGCTCTTAGTAGTTTGTTTTTAAAATTCTCAGTAGGGCAGTGGGGCAAGCATTAATTAATTTGGTTCTTGCACCAGAACCCAGTTTAAATAACGGTATTAATTAAACCATATTCAGAGTTAATAAATTTCATATTTATTAGAGCTTGAACATTTTAGAGGACAGAGGTCTTACAGATAATCTTGTTCTGATCCTATAGTCCATGGATGAGCTTAAGGAGGTGCAAAGCTCAAAAATACTTGGCTTATGTATATTTTTTTTCTGGGAAGAACATTCAGCTTTCATCACAGGATTTGTGATCCCCCAAATAGGATTCTGTACATCTTTCCACAGATGACGTCTAAGGCCAAGACCAAGGCCACCTGGCCATTAGAGAAAGGTCTAGGATTAGAACACTAGCTGGATGCAAAGCTCAGGCCCCATTGGGATCATCCTGTGAGGTAGGAAGAGGCTGTAATTATTCATTCTGCCAAAAAAAAAACACATTAAAAATTGTATAATTTTAGAACTCAAAGAAGTTAGAAATCATCTCACAGAATAATCCTCCTGATTTTACAGAGGAGGAAACAGGATTTGGAGTTAGGTGCCCACAGTCACACAGCTGGTGAGCTACAGAACCGTTGGGCTGGAAGGGAGTTCACCTGCCCTCCCCCTGCACCTGAAGTGCAAATCCTGGTCCTTGCACCAGTGTTTGCCTCTCCTTAGCTCGAACACCTCCAGGAACAGGAATCCAAATAATGAACCTGTTTAGTCCCCATCTCTTACCAAGCCTGTATCCTGCTTTGCTCTCAGCTCCTCCCAGAGAGCTTGAGTGCTGACTGTTTTTGCAGGAATTGGGGAACATTTCCAGGAGTCAGAAAGGCAATGCTGCTTTAGAGGACAGCTGCCGGGGTCCTACCTCCTGGGTCTGAGTCCAGGCTCTGCTGCTTATTAATGTCTGGTCCTCCGGGAAATTATGTCTTTGTGCCTCCGAATCCCCATCCATAAAAAGAGGATAATAGCAGTATCTACGTCCTAGTTTGTATGAGGATTAACTGGACTAACATTTGTAAGGTGCGGAGAGTGATGCCGGGCACACACAAAGTGCTTAGTCATCGTCTCCCCGGTGAGCCTCACCGTCAGCAGGTGCACCAAGTCCTTGTTGGCCTCCAAGGGTGGGGCCACCTCCTGCAGCTGGACCAGTTCGTTGATGTGATTGTAAAGGGCCAGCAGCTTGTGGACGTTCACCTTCCCATCCTCTAGGTAGTCGGGCATGGCTTCATACAGGGAGATGAGGTCCTTGAGGTGCACCCCCAGGATGGGGATCTTGAAGTGGGTGCACTCTCCATAGGCTCGCCGGTAGTTGTCATAGTTTCTGCAGGAGGACAGCAGCTCAGTCATCTCACCTAGGACCTAAAAAGCGGAAGAGGAGACCCCATCACTGCACCTGCCAGGCAGGTTGTATTGTCTGCAGTAGCCCCCTTGTCTGCTTTCAGCCTCTACCATGACTGCACCCCACCCCTAATCTGTCGGGAAGGGGTGATTCATCTAAAAGGTGCAGATCATGATCCCCAATTAAAACTCTAGCTTATGTCAAAAGGCTCAGAGTATTTACAAACACAGTTGTGCTTTAGTTGATTCTGCAACATAGCTGGGAAACTTGAAGTGAGGTCTTACTGCTTTTATACTAAAGTTTTTCTTTAAAAAAATACGTAAGCACCTGATATAAAGTCAAAAAGGCACAAGAGTATACAGAGACTAATGTGTCCCTCTGACCTCTGTCCCTAAGCCACACATTTCCTTTCCCCAGTGTCTTCCGAGTCCTAGAGCAGAAGGACATTGTTTAGCATTTGGACTGTGGTACTGGACGTGCTGCAGTGCTGCTGGCCTGGGGAGAGCGCCAGAGCCTCGGTCTCCTGCACAGGTCACTCTTCCTGCTGCGCTCTGGGCCTCCTCTCAGTGACTCTCCGCACGGGCCTTTGTCTAGGGAGCAGGTGACATTCCATCTGCCCACCGAAACTCTGACCCGGACAGACTGAATAGACCAGACCGATTCCCAGGAAAGGACAGGCAGAGGATGAGGCCGAGGACCCACCCCTCCCTCGCCCTGGAAGGGGCAGGGCCGCTCACCAGCACAAAAGGCAGCAGCCGGCCTGGGGTTCTTTTCTGACACGCCTGGCGCAGGTCAGCCAGCCGTTCACAGAACCCCGTTCCCCACTTGTGCTGACCAGCTTTCTCAGAAGCAAAGATGGGAAGTAAAGACTGTCTGCCAACCATGTTACAACAGAAAATGACCTTTTTAAACACTGTGCCACAGATTCTTTCAATAAAATTGTGGCCTAAGTAGTACCATCTCTCCAGTGAAGAGCCTGAGGTTCTGGATTAGCCTCGCTCAGCCGCTGAGTTGGCAGCCCTCCTCCTCGCACGTCTCTAGCAAACAGTGCAGGGGCGTGTGAGTACGGAAGGTGCTCACAGATGAGAAACTAACAGCAAAATAATATATTTATGTTCTCCTTGGAAGGTGAAATAAACTCCTGGGGACACTTGCTCTAAGCTGGACTTAACTGAGGGGCCAGCAGCTACAGACAAGGCGCACTGGTGTGGGGACCCTGAGCTGAAGAGGAGCGAGCTTGTATCTTATAAATGAAATGACATGAAGGCATGTTAGTCTCTGTGGCTTTCCTCTGTCACCTCTGAGGCACGGGCTGGTCTCAGCAGAACTAGGGAATTGTGAGGTGACCAGACCATGGGGGGGGGGGGGTGAGTCAGCATCCTCACAGCCAAGCGTTGAGAGCAGGGGTGATTAACTGGAGACCCCCAAAAGGAGGCTGAACACCTGGGAAAGCAGATGAGGCCATGAGGCACAGATGTCGCTCCCTAAGAAGAGAGTCTCCGCGCCAGGTTGGGAGGAGTGGGGTTTGGGATTAGGAAGGGAGGGTTGGTCCTCTTAAATAGGTGAAAATGCTCAAAGCGCAGTCATTATCTAATTCACACCACACAGTTGCACTGATGCCTTCGGTATACCATCGTGGCTTACATTTATAACAGCCTTATGAAGGATTAACATTGATCCTGTAAAATCTAAGAATATAGGAAAATGCATTGGATACTTGAGAAAAATATTCCTCAATGAACACTATTACAAAATGGCACCTGAAAAGCTCATTTCCAGTTATCCGGGGAAATTCAGCTCTCCAGAATGTCACTCCAAGGGATCTGGAGAGCCAGGGTTTCAGTGTGCCCCCATATAAGTGTGCTTGACATGCAGACAGAACCACTGGTCTTTTGGGGAAAATACTCTGGGCAAGGGAGTCAGTATTAAAGACAATAACTGAGCCCTAGCCGGTTTGGCTGAGTGGATAGTGTCGGCTCTCAGATGAAGGGTCCTGGGTTTGATTCCAGCCCTGGTTGGGCCTGTGCAGGAGGCAACCAATGAGGATGTCTCTCACATTGATGTTTCTCCCCCTCCCACTCTCTCTAAAAATCAATGGAAAAAATCCTCTGGTGAGGATTATCAACAAAATGAACATTCAGTGGCATATAAGCATGGGAAGGAGGCACATATTTCACCTGACCAGCAGGGACACGGGCAGCGACCGGGATACTGAATCACAGTCACTTTCTGATCTGTGACATCCCCGCTCTGTGGGTTTCCTTGGGGTTTGCCTCCTTGGTATTTTGCCCGGTTGACGGGATGGTGTGGTTGGCAGATGCTTCCTGGGTTACCCCCTGAAGGAGGAAAGGGCGCTGTCCCAGGAATGTGCTGAGGCTTCAGAAGAGACAGTAGCACTGACCTTGTTGATTTCGTGGGGGACGTGTGAGCTTGTCTCCTTGAGCCTGGAGATGGAGCTGTGACACAGGCCGCCTATCACGGCCATCAAAGTATTGAAGTTCTGTAGTTGGTGGAGCTTCTGTGACACAAAACAGGTGAGAACAGTCACTGAACATGCCTGTTACATGCGAGCTCAGAGGCCGCCCTCGTCTCTGGGCCTCATCTTCCTTACATTGTCGAGCACTAGCAGCCAGGTGCTGCAGTTTCCTGTTCCTTTCCCCCGAGGCTTAATCCAGACCAGGAGGTCCCAAGTCTGGCAAGGCATCACGTCTCCCTCCCTTTGTGCTGGTCCCGGACCACCTGGATCCATGGTTTCTAAGAATCACCCAAAGTACTTGTTTGTTAGCACAAAGATTTGTGGACCCAAGTCCAGATTTTCCGATTGCCTGGATCTGAGGTTGAGCTTAGGGATCTGTGCTTTTAATATCCCATCAGTTAATACCAGAGCAGGCAGTCTGTGTACCAAGCTTCGAGATACACTGCACCATCTAGTACTGGACTAATTAGCATCATCCTATATATCTTTTGCACTGAATTAACCTGTTTTATTTTTTAGGACAAAGTGCTGGTGCCTATATTGGTCAGTAATTGGGACAACGAAGCTAGAATCTCTGGGGAATTTCAAATACGAGTTCATAGAACTGTAGGTCCTTGAATAACGCCATTTCAGTCAACGTCACTTCATTATTATGTTGATGAAGTGCCGTGTCAATTAGCCTATTAAATCAATTTATTTATGTCAATCTATTAAAACTGGTTTCGGTATACATCATGGTACCTATTGACGGCATTAAGTGAGGACTTAGTGTGCCGGTTCCTCTTATAAATACTTACATGCTGCCCCTCGAACACTCAGCTCAGACATTTAACAGTGTGGGCTTAAAGACCCAAGACAACTCCAGCCTCAGGAAAACATGGACTTGCCCTTTCCTTTGTCATGGGGGCCAGATTTGAGAAGACCATGTAGGCTGGTAAGCACCTTCTAAGAAATGTTAAATATCTAAACATCTAAAACCGTATCCCGAGCCCTGAGATGGTCCTCTCCATAGTGCCCCTGTGTGGGAACCAGAGAAGTTGCCATACCTAGACCTCAGGACAGTTGAAGGACACTAACCCACTGTGGCTCAGGAGGGGAACTTGGCTGCAGGAGGAGGGGAAAATTCATCTCAGCCCAGGCCACACTCCGACTCCGCCACTCACCTGAGCCACCTGGATGAACTTAATGAAGACCTCAGCTCGGAGCTGCGGAGTGGGGCGGCTAAGCACCATCAGCTGCACCCACTGGGAGATGCCGTTGCACAGGGCTATGGACCGCTCCATGGTGGGGTTCTCCTTCACACAGCTGTTCACCGCGTAATTCTGGTAGTCGGAGAACTGCGGGGAAAGGACCCCATCAGGACTGCTGCTCTGGTGTTGAGGCATCTGAGGGGCATGTCGCCTCTGTTCAGTTGATGGCTCGGACCTGCTGTGGGACTGAGGAGTCCACCTCTCCTGTATGTCCTCTGCTTGGCTGACAAAAATGGTGGGAAGGAAACCTACCCACAGCACGGTCTCTAAACCAAAAGTCATTAGGCTTCATGGATGTGGACTAATTCATCCAACACATGAGTTAATTCAAATACTGTATTTGGTAGATATTGGTACTTCTAAATTCTAAAGAATAGAAGAAAAATCTCAGGACTAATCCCACCTCTGCTGCTGATGTTAAGGGGAAAAAAGGAATTCACAAGACTTACTCCTCCCTGTTTTCCATCTCCATCCTCTCTCCCTCTCCGCCAGCTGTTTTCTTACCTTAAGAGTGGGATGATAACATCTGCTCTATCTAGCACATGAAATTGTTATGAAGGTTAAACATGATAAGGTATGAAACAACTTTAACTTTTCCAAGTGCTACATTAATGTGAGGTGGTGCTAATAGGGTAATTACTACCTTCTTGCTGAAACAAACCTGCCTGAATTAAATTGAACTTGAACAGAGGCCAAGTGAGTTGAATACATGAAACCTGGTGAGCTAATTCCATGACCATAGTTTCCCAGCTGGACAATAGTACCGACTGGTTGACAATCAAACAGCATATGTGAAGCAGATGTGCCAGAAGACCGCTGTAGAGGTGGTGACTGTAGCTATCGTGTCCTTGTCCCAAACAGCCCTGCTCAATAGGCTACCCAAAGGCAGGCGGCGTCTGCCCGCTCCAGTGCTCCTCTGGGCATGTTGGCGCTGCTCACCATGTGTTCACAGTGCGGCCAGCAGCATGAGGGGAAGTGAGGGGGCTTTTGAGGGAAAGGTGTAAGAGCCACTGAGCGATCCGCCATGCTGCCGGCCCACAGCTGCAGAAGCTGTGTAAAGGTGAAGCCTTCCATATCTGCGTCCCTGCGCGACCCATGTTACATATGTCGTGTGACTGGGATTGTGGGGGAGGAGCTGGGGGTTACTTCAGTATATGTTAGTCCCGCCTGACTAGGAATACACTGATGAGAAACAGCCTAAATAAAATAACGCAAGTGCGCAGAGCCCTATTTCACTGTGCTGTGCTTACTCACAGGGCGAAAACTCTGAGTAGGACCAAAACTCCTCTTTAGGAGACACACACTGAGCAAAAATCTTACCGGTTCTAACAGAAAATTCCCGTGACTCATTCCAGTGAATTCATTTATATATTCCTCCCACTATAAAGACAACACTAACTTTACTTGTTTTTTAAAAGAATTATCCCAGTAATCCCCCCTCCCCCCCCCCCCCCCCGCCCAAGTATTATAATAAACAGGAAATATCAAATGCCATCAGTTCACAGGTGGGAGACAGCTCCCTCTGGTCCCATGTCGGAGGGGAAACTGCTGGAGGGACTGTACCATTCAAGCCAGGAAGGTTCCAAACGATGTGCTGCTCTGCAAACAGCACTGCCGCCCCCTCGGGAGCACGGGCTTAGCGTCCCTGTTCTGCACGCGTTTCCCGCTCCTGCCAGCTGGGCCCCAGCGCAGCGCAAATTTTCAGTGTGAGAATGGCTCCTTTCAGGGCCCCTCCCATGACGCGAAGGCACCGCCAAATGGAAACTCCCCAGGTGGGGCCTCCCAGCAAGTCCCCTGGTTCTGTCAGGGGTGCCGTGAGGGGGCTGGGGCCAGTGCAGAGAGTCCCGCTGGGAGACTAACTTCCAAAAAGGAGCTGAGAGGTTCCTGGCTGGCTGGGCAAACCGCTGTGTGAAAACAGATGTCAACATTATGGGAGGAAAGAAGAAATAACCTCTGTCACCTGGTTGCAGGATTCCTTTCAAATAGAACCAGGCTCTGTTTAGCGGGTTTGGCTAGTGTGGTTAGAGTGTCGGCCCACGGACTGAAGGGTCCTGGCTTCGCTTCTGGTCAAGGGCATGTACCTCGGTTGCAGGCTCTATCTCTGGTCCCGATTGGAGAGCGTGTGGGAGGCAACCAATCTCTCTCTCTCTCTCTCTCTCTCTCTCTCTCTCTCTCTCTCTCTCTCTCTCTCTCGGATGTTTCTCTCTGTTTCTCCCTTTCCCTCCCCTCTCTATAAAAATCAATAGAAAAAATATCCTTAGGTGAGGATTAAAAAAGAAACACACCAAAAACAACAACAAATAGAACCAGGCTCAAGAAGTTGGTGCCGAGTGACCAAGACAGGCATGTAATTCTAGCCCCAGCTCTTAATCTAATAAGCTGTGTGACCTTGTCGAGCCACCCCTCTGGGCCTCCATCCCCTCTGGGAAACACGGGTCACTCTAAGAAAGGAATCCAGCAACTAGGCAGTCTCTATTTTTAGAGTAAAGCTGAAGACCATTTTGGGGTAGGGGCAGGGCTGAGTGAAGGTGCCGTTCCCCAGGAAAGTATATTGGTCAGTGCGGGTCTGCTGGCACCTGCCGTGTTGACAAGATGTCTCGTGTGGCACCAGTGTTCTTTGGCATCATGTATGGAGATTTAAGGAGCAAGTTTGGATCAGCAAAGTTTATCTCTAGAATCATCAGCGACGGCTGGGCCATGTCAGCACCACTTCATGGATTTAGGTATATTCTGGGCTGGACCAGTAACATCGACTTTATTTTGTCATGTCCCACAGCCATTCAGACCTACCCTAGAATGAACTCAAAGTCTTACAGGATATCTCCATTTTGGGGGGAGGAAAATGAAAAAATAAAATTTCTGGCAACCTAATGACACAAGGTTAAAAAGTGTGTGTGTGTGTGTGTGTGTGTGTGTGTGTGTGTGTGTGTGTACACTCACATATACATGTATGCCCACTGTATTGTCTCTTGGGGGTGGGGTGGGCATGGAGGATGGTGGATGGAGGGGGAGGGACCGCCCAGGAATTCAGAGCACTGGTTCTCTGGACGGTACAAAGTCTAACGGGAAGGCCCACCAGCACCGAGGGCCTCTGGGGTTCGGAGGTGAACAGGCTGCTGTATTTCTCTGCTTATGTTCAGAAATGCCCCGGGGGAGCTTTCTCCTGCCCCTTGGGTACATACGGAGATCCTCCGGAAGGACTTGAACTCCAGGTAGGTGAGGTGCTCCGACAGCTCTTCCGGTTCCAGGTGGTCAAAGAGCAGGGAGACTTTCCGTTTCTTGCTGGTGTTCGATTTTATCCTTTGAGTAAGTTTCCTGGACCAGTCACGGGCATTGCTTTTGTGGGTAAACATGAAAGAGAGAAGATAGGGAAAAAGATACATCAAAATTGCTTTTGAATACAAGTCAGTCCAGTTTTGCATGAGAATATACAAAGAACCATTAGCTCACTTTCCTTGGCCAAAACAATGCATCAACAGAGTTTTCCCAAATCAACTTTGTCTATGGCAGCAACTAGGAAGCCTGGCTGGTTTCCTGTGAGCCTTTAGAATGCACGTGGGAACTGGGGAAAAGGTGTTTAAGGCCGTGGGAAATAGGGTTCAAGCATTGGCCCAGTTTCCTGGTCTTCAGTCCCGACACGCCTGCTCTCTCCATGCCTTCTCTGTGTCCCATCATCCTCATAAGGGTCACAGGGACTAACTGGTTGGAAATCTCAAGGTGGGAGGGTAGTTTTCATGCTGGGAGGGCACAGAGAACCATGGCGAGGAGATGTCGTGCTGCAGGGGGTCATGGGGAGGAACACTTTGAGTGACTGCTGGCATTTTCCTCCACTTCCCCAGATGATGTCCCCAAGAGAGCCTAGCGCCCCCCCCCCCCCCCCCCCGCCACACACACACACATATTTTCTTGTAACCAACCCATGTGTTCTGATTCAGCGTGTTTCCTACAGTGAGGAAGCAAAGAGGAAAAGCCGTTTGAGAGGTGCAGGTTGCAGATGTGTGTTTCCCAAACTGCTATTCCTGAGAACCTTGTCTCTACAGAGGGTTCTGTGGTCAAATGAGTTTGGGAGATGCTACAAATTCTGCAGCCCCTTGTCCAAAGAACATATTACAGACTCTGAGATGCACTGCAAACTTTGCAAGTTTAACTCACTATTTCTCACATATACCTGGTCAGGCTATATCTCACTGACTAATTCCTAAAGAGCAGACTGTGGGAAATATTGGTAGAGGAAAGTCACACAGGCAGTATATTGGGACAAGGAGATTAGGGTTTGAGAAGTGCCCTGGGGCCTAGGTTCTGCACCTTTGCAATGAGGAAATTGTTACTTGAAAATCTCTTGTATCTTTTGAGTTGTATTATTCTAAGTAGAGGTACAGAGAATCCAAAGTGACAAATTGATTTATTGGGGACCATGACATGTGACATTTACATTTCTGCAGGGCTGTGACCCAGTGCACCGAGCTTGTGTCCAGCCACTAGCTTAGCATGCTGTGTGACCCCAGACGAGCCAGACAACCTTGCTGAGTCTGTTTCCTAGGATGTTGGATGAAACGATCTCTAGAATTCCTTTCAGTTCCAGAATTCTGTATTCTAAGGATCTGCACTATTGTGAAATAAAGTGGCCACTCTGTGAAAATTTCAGTATGCAATGTGTGTACCCTCCCCTGCCATATTTCCACAGTGGGTTGACCTCATAAATAAAAAAATCCAAGAAGTAATGGAAGATATCCCTGCGATCTCTCCCAGCTCCCGAAGTCTACGTGTCTTTCATAGACTCCACATGCCATACTCCTTCTGTTCAGTACATTGTCAGCAGTCCCCCATTTTCAAGTTCAGGGGCCTCCAGGCATTAGCTGCCGTCTAGCGTGCATTTAGTCACTGTGCTTTCAGTTTCTCACAACCTGGACACGTTTTAGTCACTGTCTTGCTACCTGATTGCTTTTTGACTGGGTCTTACATTGTTCCTGCTCGTGAGTATTAGTCACCCACAGCTTTATCACCAGGGGCGTCTTTGCTTGCTTGTCAAATGTCAAGCTTTTCACCTTGTGAGGTGGTTTGAACCTGCCTATCCGAGGGGCCTCTCCCAGCGGCAGAGCCGCAGCCACAGCCGGGCGTCCGGGCCAGCCGAGCAGAGATGCCTCCACAGCCTGGCACTCACATTTGAGTTGTGTCGATCAGGCGGCAGTGTAACTCCTCCCCACTAGCCTTCACCAGTTCCTGGAACTCCTCCATGGTGTTCGTCAAGCTGGCATCCATCTTAAACATGGTCCAGAATTCCGTTATCCAGTACCTGCACGGCGGGGGTAGAACATGCCAAAACGGAAGGCCAGGGTCACTTTGGTAGGTTCTTCCCTCAAAGAGGACTGACAGAAAGACAGGTGGGTTTGCCCTTGCCTATTCCTGGGAACATGGAATATATATTCCTAACATAGAGCATAACGAGTGGGGGCGGGGGAGTGGGGAGGGAAGAAAACCACCTGTCTGCAGCTCTCTGCCCCTCCTCGTGTTGAAGGCTTGGATAGGATAAGGTGTCTCATAGCCATGGCAGGTCTAGGCACAGCCATGCGCATCAGAGATAATCATAAATAAGACAACTACAGACAAGCCGGATGTCCCAAGATGGGCATGTATCTGTAAATTACACTGTAAATAGTCAGGTCTCAGACTATTATATAGCCATTAAAAATAATACAAAAGTTTTTCATGACTAAAGACATTTTCAATGATATTAAAGTTAAGTGAGAACAATAGGATAGAAAACTTTACATGTTTTTGAATCTCAACTATGATTAAAAAATCTGCTTGGGAAAAAAGACAAAATAAAAATGCCAAAACAGGTAGTTGGATATGAGTGCTTATTACTATAGTCATATTCTTCTCTGTATGTTCAAAATGCACTCATATGAGCTATATTACTTTTATGATTCAGACTAAAAACAAACAAGATCACCTCTCGCATGTCGTTTGATACCAAAATACTGTAAGACTGAGGAAAGCCTTGGTATAAAACATTAAGCTCAGGCACACCAGGAAAAATGAGCTGTGCTCCATTTCCAGTACCGCCTGCCCTTCCAGGCTGCCCAGAGGTGATCCACAGAAAGACGTCAGGAAGGGGAAGGCAGGGGCATGAGGAAGAACTAGATCACCTTGCTTCAGTCTTTCGTGTCACCCCAGGCCACACAGACCCACATGCGTGTAGAAACCTCACCTTACGAAGTAGCAGATCTTCAGGCACAGCCCTGGTGACTTCTTGGCCCAGGCGTCCTTATACGTGGGCTATAGTTAAGGCAAATGGAGCTTCTGTGACAGCAACCAAACAGCTTCTCATCAGTGGAAGTGTTTGCTAAAATCAACCCCCTCCCGAAATAAATTTCAAATGAAAATGTATTCTTATCTCTCCCCATAGATAAAAACCAACTTGGTGTGTGCAGCTGTATGTTATTATCACCTACAAGGGTGGCGTGGGGACTATCTAGCTCACGCTGAAATGGTGGTGGGAGGAGGCCACCGCATCTCCTCTGTAGAAGTAGAGCTAGGAAGTCCATGGTGGGGAAAGCCCTGTGCAGGTGACTATAAGAAGAACCAGAGAGGCAATGACCTCCTGCCCGGGACCAGGAGACCAGGAGTCCAATGAGACCAGTTAAAGAGAGCTGCTCCTTCTCATCTTTTACAATGCTTCTAGTAACTGATAAACAATTGGTGCCGTGAATTAGAGGAGAGGGGGAAGGAATACATATTCAGATATAGTGTCATGACAATAATAGCAAAATGATAATATATGCCTAGAGGATGTTAGTAGGTTGACCTTGTAAGTTGGATGGCAAGTCAGACAAAGCCATGTGAATAATGTCAATAAAGCCAAAATACAATCAGAGACATGTTAAGGATCCATAGCATCTGGAATATTCCATGAAATGGTGCCATCCTAAGAATATGAAAGAATAGCAGGTTCCATCAAGTTCCCATGTTGAAGAGCAGCGATTGTCAACCTTTCTCATCTCATGGTACACATTAACTGATTACTAAAATTCTGCAGTACACCAACAAATATATTTTTTGTCAATCTGACAAATAAAAAGGTATAATTTAATTCATTCACACTGGACAATTATTGTTGTGTTGGCTGTTGTCATTTTTTTTGTTTTGTTTGACAATCTAACGAAACAGAAGTCAGAGCTCCTAACTAAATAGTCAGGTATTGCATGTTTAAAAATTCTTGCAGCATATCGGTTGAGAGCTGCTGCTCTAGAGCTTAGATGGAAAGAATATTCACTTAAAAGAAATGCAAAATCCAGTCGAGGGATGAACCTGGGCAGGCCCTACCATCTTCCGCAAACAGAATGAGCAAGCAGGCCATGTAGTCTGTGTGCCCTGCAAGACTCTGACCTCTTTCTCATGGAAAAACTGTGCCATAATAACTGCAATGCAGGTCTCAGTGACCTGCAGCCGGGCCCCCGAGATGAAACCAGGGAGAAGCCAGCAGAGATCTCAAATAACCAGGACAGAAGCGGCCTTCTTTCAGTGGGAGCGCACACTGTAACCCATGCAAAACTCAGAGTCAACTACAGCAAAGTAAAGACAGCCCAAATCATATTATTGATGTTTTTATTAGGAAGGCATCTGTGCATTTTGAGATTTTATATGCCTGTAAAGTTTAAGAGTATATTAGAATGGTAGCATGGAAGCTCCAATTTGGAATATATAATTAATTGTGGTTTTAAATTGAAACCTTATTAAGTTTATGCATTGCTATGGAACAGTGGTTCTCAACCTTGGCTGCACATTAGAATCACCTGGGAATCTTTTTAAAATCCTGATTTCTGGGCCTCATCCTCCGGAAATTCTGTTTCTTTGTTATGGGGTGGGGCCACAACATTAGTAACAAAGAAACAGAATTTCCGGAGGATGAGGCCCAGAAATCAGGATTTTAAAAAGATTCCCAGGTGATTCTAATGTTCAGCCAAGGTTGAGAACCACTGCTTTGGAGCATCTAAGATAATATTAGCTTTCCTGTTTATAACTTTAATCTACTAGAGTTATAAAAATTATTTCAAATTCAGGGAAGCCTCTGAAATCTTTAAAATAAAGTGTAAAATTCATAATTGTTTAAAACCATCGGGAGTATTTAATTAGCATTTTCCAAATTAACCAAAAAATTTTCAAGGCCCCTTAAAAAGATTTGGTGGAACATGAGAGACTTATAGAAATAATACAACTTGTGAGCTAAAACCGGGTCCCTAAAGAAAAACTATGGTTGTGAAATTTGTGCTTTTAATAAAATTAATTTTAAAAACATATTTTAATAGATTTACTGCTTATAAAATCTGTCTTTGATGGCACCAAAACAAAACTACACCCACATCAACAAATGAAATAAAAATTAAAATAAGCCCAGCCAACTGGCAAACTTCATGAAGTAACAGGTTCTGACACCGGCCTTTCTTTGGGCCTAAAAGGTAGGAGTGGAAATGAGATGACTTTACATGTCTTAATGCCACATCGCTAAGAAAATGCATCCCCTGAACGCAAAGAGGTTCACGCATAAGGCACATTTTAGATAGGTATGTCTTAGATTCTATATTTGAATTATTTGACCAACTTGTTGAAATTTTTCTTCCTTTTTAATAAGGAAGGCACAGAAACCCATCTATTTTAAGACAACTAAATGGACATAGAAATCAACATGGTGCCCTTTATGTGGAGTTTATCTTCCTCTGGTGGTTTCTTATCCTCTTTATATGGGGGCGGGTAGCGTCTGCAAACCCAGTGGCCTGCAGTCAGGGGCTGAGCCGCTGTGGGCATGCGGGATGCCAGTTGGGATGGCAGAGCCTCCCAAGGCCATCAGAGCCCTGAAGCATAGCAGAGGCAGGGCACCCGCTTTCTCACTCTAGCTGGAAGCCAGTGCTGATGACACAGGCCAGCAGCAAGAGGCTTGGGCACCCGCGACCTAGTAAATGTCCCTGTTGCTGACAGTTCAGGCCCAACCTGTCTTCCTTCCCTTCGCGGCTGGTCCTGTGCCTGGGAAGTACCGGGGCAGTTCTGACTGTGCTCTTCAGGTATCTGAACTATGCAAAGCATGTTTGTTTGTTTTTCCCTCTTTTTTCAAACAATGGAAAAGCAAGAAACCATCTGAGCTTATTTTATTAAGAATTCTATTACCTCCAAGCCAGAACAGGGAAACTAACTGAAGACAAAATAGTTTTGCCTTCAATGTTTAACCTGGGTTTCAGTGACGGGAAATCTTACTTCATATTCCCTTCTTAGAATCCCTCCCCCGACCCCAGACTTGAGCAAAGCCCAGGTTTCTCACCTAAGGTCCTGACAGACACAGAAAAAGTATCTCAGTGTTTTGCATCCACGACAGTGCAACATTCATCGAGCCCTCCCATGAGATGGCCACTTAGCTAAGTTCTAGAGAAACAAAGATAAATATGCCTTTGGTTCCTGCACTTGAGGGGACACACAGTCTCCTGGGGGAGACAATTCATAAATAGGTAAGTTACAATATGGTGTGTGTATATAGGTTAAAACTATACCTATCTTGTCTTAAAGTAACTTGTAATTTAATTAATTTTTCAGCACCCTTGCAAAATTCCATATTACTAACACAATTCAAACTACAGCAACTAGACACAAAAGTTTTGAGTTTTCCTTAAATGTCATCTATAAATACCAGAGAATACAGGTATTACATTTCAAAACTTACAAACTAAAGTTTAGGCAGATCGATATATTTAGCTAACAGAACAGAATGAAAAGCCCCTCAAGGCAGATGCCAGCCAGGCAGACACGAGAGAGACACTGACCACTTAGGTGATACAAAACAAGAGTCACGGGAATGAAATATGTTTTCACATCAATAGCAGTATTTTAAAGCACTAGATGTATTTCCCAAGGGGGAGGGAGTGGGAAGGTCAGGAAAGATTTCACTGAGGGTCATGAAAGAATTTGCTAGGCTTGCAGTGAGGAAAAGGCGCTCCAGGCCCAGGAACTGGGTGAGGATCCGTGACAGTCGGGGCATTGAGAAGCTCAGTGTGGAGGGGAAAAGGTTTCTTTAAAAAAAATTATTATTATTATTATTTTATTTAAAAGAGAGAGGAAGGGAGAGAGAGAGAGAAACATCGATGGGAGAAATATCGATTGGCTGCCTCCTGCACACCCCTACTGGGGATGGAGCCCACAACCTGAGCATGTGCCCTGACCAGGAATCAAACCAGTGACCTCTTGGTTCCTGGGTCCATGCTCAAATGCTGAGCCACACTGGCCAGGCGGGAAAGGGTTTCTGGGAGCTGCAGGACAAAGCAGGAGAGACACTGAATTGGGTCAGGCCCTGGAGGGCCGTCTCCTGGCAACCGAGGGGTCTGATGTCACCTCCCCCAGTGGGCAGAGGCTCTGAAGCAAAGGTTACCCCACTTCTCAAGAAAGTAACTTCAGAGGATGACAACGAATGGTGGTGGTGGGGGAGGGTAGAAGGCACATAGGTGAGAAGACCCTGGGACTATGGCCGGCCATGGCATGGAAATGCAGAGGAGAGACCAGATGAGAGTCATTTCTGAAGTCAAAACCCTGGGATTGGGTGACGGCCAGAAGGAGGTGAGAGGCAGGAAGGAGTCGAGGGTGCTTCTGATGTGGTTCAGGCCACTGAGCGGGTGATGACACCATTAACTGAAACTGAAAATGAAAATACAGGTGTCAAAGCAGAGTCAACGGGGTGGTAGTTGGGGAGAGAGGGTGGTGGGTTAAGTTTTGAACACATTAAAATTGATGTCCTAACTAGTCCAAACTTTTTAAAGAAATGGCTTGGGTTAGAGAAATACAGACTCGAAAGTCACCAACACAGAGGAATGGTGGTGAAAATCCGGGTGAGACATCGCCCAGGGAAGGAAGAGTGAGAGAACAAGAGGATGCTACCCGGTAGTTCAGAGGCCCTCAGAGAAGGTGCTGGGTGGGAAGCTGGAGGGGTGCCGGGAGGAAGGAGAGCCGGGAAGGTGCATTCCGGAGCCCTGGAGGGCGGGTTTGGAGAGGCAGGGGTGTCAGCAGCGCCCAGGGCTTCTGGGAGGTCAGCGTAGACTGGGATGGAAAAAAGCCATTGGGAGGTTGCTGGTGACATCAGAGGAAAGTTCGAGTGCAGGGGTGGGGGCCACGGTTGAATTAGGAGTGGGAGGGAGCTGAGAGATTGGAGATAGTGGGTGCAGACTATTTTAAGAAGTTTTCGCATCAAATTTCTAACCCTAACAATGGAATGAAGGGGAGGCAGGGCTGAGAGTTTATTTTTAGGTTGGAGGCATTTCGATGCCTGAGGGGCAGGTGCCACTGACGAGGCAGTTTAAGAGTGCAGGAGAGGGGAGGTACGGATTGGGTAGATCCTGTGAGCAGGGGCAGGCAGGGCGGGAAGGGGAAAGGCGTCCATTCGCCATGTGGGTGGGCATCCCAGGTACGATGTAATCCTTAGACCAGTGGTTCTCAACCTTCCTAATGCCACGACCCTTTAATACAGTTCCTCATGTTGTCGTGACCCTCAATTTCATTGTTACAAACTGAATATAATTAAAGCACAGTGATTGATCACAAAAACAATATGTATTTATATATGTGCTTTTCGATGGTCTTGGGCAACCCCTGTGAAAGGGTCGTTCGACCCCCAAAGGGGTCTCAACCCACAGGTTGAGAACTGCTGCCTTAGACCAACAAACAATTTTTCCAGTGAGAAATACTTCATCTCTGGCACTGTTTAGAATTGCTGGTACATGGAGTTAATAAAAAGCAGACCAACTCTGAGTTGGTTTTATTATGGTTTTAAAATTCTCTGTAGACAAGACACCACTTATTACCTGCACCTCTTATGACGTGAACCCCTCCCAATACCCCGCCCTTGGAAGGCACTGGAGACACCTCCTTTGAGAGGAGCGGCAAAGATATATAAGTGGATGGGGGCGGGCTGGAGGGGTTCAATGGGGACAAGGGGGAACAAGGGGGACATACGTAATACTTTCAAAAATAAAGAATTGTTTTTAAAAAAGATATATAAGTGGGTTTAGAAAAGAGCTTTGGTCCTGATGGGTATGGGTGTGTGTGTGTGTGTGTGTGTGTGTGTGTGTGTGTGTGCGCGCGCGTGTGTGTATGTGCACGCGCGCCTGTCATAAGATGAAAAGGTAGGGTCAGGAGAGGTGGTGAAGATGAGAAGAGCTGCAAGTCATGACTCAGAGCTGGGGATCTGGGCTTCGGGCGCTAAACAGTCCCACCCCACCCACAGGTTTTCTTCGGAGGCCACAGCTTACAGTGCCATCAGCGAGAGGGAGAGGGCAGGCAATTCCCCTCCCTACTCAGTTCACACCCCACAAGAAGGTTACAGTCCAGCTGGGTTTGCTGCCTGCAGCAAAAGGCACCAGCAGACTCCAGTTGCTGTGGCACCAGGAAGCCTTGGCCAGAACCTGGGGAAGGTTCCAGAATTGGTCAGGAAAGCCAGAATGCATGTCATCACTTGAGTCATGCTTGCACCCTTGTCAATATGCACAGGCAACTGTGAAGTTGGATGAATAGACAAGAAAAGTATTGTTACTAGCCAGAGAAGACTGTTTGCATGCTGATTTCTTTGACTACTTCCCAGAGCAATCAGCATCAAGAGCATCGCCCTGCCCAACTGAAGGTACACATACACATGTATGTACACAGATACACACACACACACACACACACACACACACACACCATGCCCCTGAAAGGACGTGTAACCTGTGAACCCATTTACCACTCAGGATTATTCCAAACCAATCCAAATAAAAGCATACTTCCGATTTCCAGCTACCCTTGAGCACTCCTACTGGGGACTGCCAGCGGGTCTGCTGAAAGGATATAGGGCGATCACTTTTTGGAGCAGTTCCGCAGAGGAAATGATAACTCGGTGCATGGTCAGCATGACTTGCAGCAGTTGGTTACTTCGGCACAGGTTTCCATCTGCATCTGAAACACAGAGAGCAGCATCTGAGCGAGGCCCCAGAGAGAAACCAGCCCCGACCACCCTTCATGACACAACGGTGCGGGCCCAAGGGCGTCTCCAGGCACAGTGCTTTTCTCCCACTGCCTCTGGCGCCACACTCCCTCCTTGCTTTGCTTTTCTTATCCTCCTGCCGTATTCTCCCCTTCGCAAAATGTCCATTTTGATGCCCGTTAACCACCCACTGGGAGGTGTTGGAATCTTGGGAAAGGGGTAAAATTTGCACCAGTGCACCCGAAAGCAGAAGCAGATCCAGGTTTTGTGGGGCCCAAAGTGCATATGATGGTGGGTTCTTTCTAGGGTCACAGTCAAAAAAGTATAGTGTTAATAGATTTCAGTTAAAATGCCTTACTTTTGCAACTTGGCCAAAACATGACCATCTGAATACATGCCTAGGGCGCTCCCACGGCATGGAGGAGCTCTGAAAAAACCTCCCCTAGTTTTATGGGCAGGCTGCCTCTGCAATAAAGGAGGAAGACTATGGGGAAACATTACATTTGGAGATTATGGGTGAGTTACAAGTATCCATGATGCTTTATATCCAAAAGCTTGGTTAGCTAGGTTTTCCAAAGCCCAGCTAATGTCAAATAATAAGATGCATTCTATACACTGGCATTGGGTATAAAGATTTCTCTTGGAGGGCTTTTCAAAATCTTTTCAATAGTGATGGCATGAAGTACTAGGGGCTATGCTGGTCTTTTGATGCCAGACCTGCTCTCTGTCCTTCACCATGGACTGCAACACCAGTGCCAGCTAGCTTCCAGTTGTGCTCAGCCTTGAGGAAGCATCAGCAAGAGAAGGGAGAAGAGAAGTCAGGTCATGTCTTTGCCCTCCCTTCTCTGCTCTGCACCACTTCCCTGAAAGGAGCTGCAGGTCTCTCCCATGAAACATCCTACTAGTTGGCCCCTTGTGACTTCTGCTTCACCTGTGGTCTAACCCTGCTCATCTCCTTGGCCCTTGGCCCTCTGGCCCTGAGGGTAGCAATGACTTGTGGCTGTTGACAGTCTCTGGGTGCAACATCTGTTAATTCTACTTTATCTCTGTAAATAGCTCCTTCATCTATGTGTCTTCAATTAAACAAACCATGCGAATTCTATTCTCTGTTGGGAACTTGACTGATTCAGGATAAAATATCAAATGAAAGAATAAACATGAATTGCTTTATCATTGATAGCTCTTTAAAATGTGTTATACAAAAGGGGTTGTCATTTTCATTCTTTCCAAGTGTGCCAAACTGTAAGTAAAAGACATAGTGCACTTGGACTCAGGATTCAGAAGTCCTCGCTCATCCTCAAAAGATGACCTGAAGCCACAGTTCATGAGAAAATGTAAGTAAGCTGACAGGGTCACTCACCCTGCCATCACCAAACCCACTGATTTTCCCACATTCCATTACGGCCTGCTGCTTCCATGGAGGCCTTTCTGAGGCCGTGGCTCCCACTGAGCTCTGGGTCTCCTTCCTCAAGGACTCTGATCCTGCCTTTGTCTACTTTCTTCCCTGCATCATCAACCTCTCTCTCTCTCTCTCTCTCTCTCTCCTACTTTACGCCCACTGGCATTTAAATATGCATCAGACTTTCCTATTTAAAACACAATGAAATAAAACAAAACCTTAAACTGGCATCCTCTCTAGCTACCTCTCCATTTCTGTTCTCCTTTTCAGCAAAACCTCCCTGTCATCAATTTATCAACTCCTGTTCCTTCTCAACCATCCCATTCTGACTTCTAACTCCATCATTCCACTTAGTGGAGTTCTCAACCTGTGGGTCGCGAACAATGAAAATACATCCTGCACATCAGATATTTACATTATGATTCATAACAGTAGCAACATTACAGTTATGAAGTAGCAACGAAAATAATGTTCTGGTTGGGGGTCACCACAACATGAGGAACTGTACTAAAGGGTCGCAGCATTAGGGAGGGTGAGAACCACTGCATATTGTATTTTCAAGGTCACCAACTAGCCGCACCAGATCCTGTAGTGTATGCCTCTGTCCTCAGCTCACTTTATGACTCAAGTTGCATTCAAGCCAACCCACGTTGACAACTCTCTTTCCTGGAACACTTTCTTCTCTTGGCTCCCATAACATCACACTTTCTCAGCTTCTCTCTCAAGCTCTTCTTCTGCCTCTTCTTCCTCTGCTGAGCTTTTAAATGTCACTGTGCTCTGTGGTTTATTCCTCCCACTTCTTTTTTTCTAACAATTTTTAAAATTTAAAACTTCTTAAAATTTAAATTAAAAAATTAACTAATTTTTTTCCTAAGTGAACTTATCTAGTCCTTTGGCTAAAAATGCCACCTATATGCTGATGACTGCCCAACTTATATCTTCAGCCCCGAGTACCCAATTAGTCCGTCCAACACACTTGGCAAATCCACTCAGATGTCTCATTCAAACAAAACTGCTGACCTTCCCCCACGACCCCCACCAAATTCATTCCTCCTCCACTTTTCTTCATCTCAGCAAATAGCACCACCAACCATCCTCTTAAATAAAAAACCTAGGAGTTATCCTTCTTGCCTCACTTTCTCTCATAGCCAATCCAGCAGCAAGCCTCTGCTGTTTCCACGGGAGGTCTTTCAAACTCTACTTTCAAACTATACCTCAAACCTGTCCATTTCCCTCCATCCCTGCCGTTTTATTAGTTGTAGCCATGATCACAAGGCAATAACCTAGATGCCCTTCCTGCTTCCACTCTACAGTCAATTCTCCACTCAGAAGTCAGGAACAAGCTTCTAAAACCCATGAATCAGGTCATGTGCTTAATGTGCTTTACTGAACTCCGTTATACTGGTAATAAAACTCAAAATCCTTACAATGGCCAATGGAGCTCCACAGGTTCTGGCCCCTTTTACCATTTCCCACTTTATTTCCTGTTTCATACCCGATTACTCCTCTCCACACCTCTCCTTATGCAATCAAGTAGACTACAATTATAGAGGTAACTTTTCAATTCAGTATCTGACAACATAGTTTTTATGACGCAGCTTTCCTCACAGAGCTAGTAGTGCTCATAGTCCCATGTAGGATGGTAAAGAGCAGGAAAGACTGTGAAATGTATTTGTAGGGCATCAGAATGGTCAAAGGAGCTATGGACACAGTCCCAGGCTTCTTTCGTGTGGACAGAATCTAAGGCTTGTGACTCAACTCTTCCTTGTGGTTGGCTAGCATCTTTTAACGATGTCATTTCTAATTCTCACAACTCTACAATGTTGGTATTGTTCATGGCGTGCAGATGAGAAAATGAAAGCATGGTGACACTGGGTAATTTATTCTGGGTCAAAGAGACAATGGGTGGAGGAGCTAGGATCTGCTCCAGGTTTGTCGGATTCCGGAAGCCCTGCTCCTTCCACTGGGCTTGGCTGCACACGGCACAACCATTTCTTAGGAGAGGGAATTTGAGTGTTAAATGGGAGGCCAAAGTGGATGAGCTAAAAGATCTCTTCCAGTCCTTAGGTTACAAGTCTAAGAGATGTCACTGGGACGTGGGATTGGGACTCCAGTGGTTTCTGAAAGTCTTTATAAGCCTTGGTTAATTGATATTGATCATTAAAGTTACCTTTAAAGTAAGAAGCATGCTGTGTCTAAGATTCATAAGCAGTCACACTCCATGTTCCCTCGCACTCTCTTTACACAGTTCTGTGACGCTCCCCACTGTGGCTTGTTAATCCTCATGTGCTCTCTGTGGAGTGAGGGCAAGGCCAGGAGGGGGTGATCCACTCAGCAAAGGGAGGCAGAGACGGGGTGACAGCAGAAGCACCTGGGTTCCTGGGTCCTGAACTCCCTTCTCGGCTCTCCTTTCTCCACAGGAGAACGCCTTGGTGTGTCACTTGCCCTCATCCCACCGCCACCTCTCCCCACGTGACCTCACCACGGATGCACTTCCTTCCTGACCGCCTCTCAGCAAGCACTTCTTCCTTTCTGAGGGTGCGGGCCTCTTTGAAAGTCAAAGGGAACCTACCTTCCAGGCTGCTGGATTTATTGATATTTTGATGTAATTGGTGTAAGGTGATTTAAATATTTCAATGAATAATTTCATTTTGTTTGCATCTTGAAGCTTTTGAAAAATGCAAGGTGTCAAACTAAAAATTCTAATAAGTAAAATGTGCAATGCATAGTAAAATATGCAGATTTTCTCATCCCCATCTGCTTCTCCTTACACTTCAGGGGAAGACTTCTTTAAAGGGGTGAAAATTCAGTGGGTACAAAATGTCAGTCTTATACACTCTACACTTGTCTTGGAGAATAAAGTATACTGCCAGAGATCTATACAACTTAAAGACCCACCCAACCTGGGGACCATTTGTTCCTCAAGCAAACAGGAAAGTCACGGGGCTTCTAGACAGTCATTTGTCTCTGAAGCAACAACCCATTTTCCATCATTAGACTCAGTGGCAGCAATACTGACACTTCATGGAATCACAGAATCTCGGGGGTGGAAAAGACTTTAGTCATCTACCTCGACCTTCCATCCGATGCATTATTTCCTTCTAAAAGTGTCGCAGGTAAGTGGCTATCTAGCCTCTGCTTGTACCCTTCCAATGAGAGGATACTCCTTTTCTATATAGCAACTTCTCATTCTACTTAGATTAAACACAGTTTTGGACACAATTAATCAACATTGATAATTAATCCGCTCTGTGCGAGGCACCATCCTAGATCCCGAAGGAGGCCTGAAGAGCTACAGAACACTCGCCATTGAGGAGCTCACAGTCAGGTTGGGGAATGGGACACACACCCAAGACACCAAACAATACTAGACAGTAAATGTGAAGAATGAAGCGGAGGAGGCCACGCTGCACAGTGGTCAAGTTCAGAAGGGGAGAGATCCTATCCAGCGTGGTGGCTCAGTAAGCATCTGTTGATATCTGGTGATGAGGTGACCCAGAACGTCAAGATTCAAGAGGCCTTATGATCCAGCCCTCTTCCTCTAAATCAGCCTGCACACTCTATTTTTTTTTT